GGGAGGAGATGCTGGGAGGGAGAGGGGGAGGGAGGCTGCAGGCAGTCCTACTCGGGCTGGGGAGCCTGAGGGGGAGGTGGTGTGAGGAGGGCTGCCAGTGTGTCTGAGCCTCAGCTGGTGGGGGCCATGCCCCAGGCCCACCATGAACCTGGAAGGGCTGGAGATGGTTGCTGTGCTTGTGGTCCTCGCTCTGTTTGTCAAGGTCCTGGAGCAGTTTGGCCTTTTTGAGCCTGTCTCCTTGGAAGGTAACCCAGGTGTCTGGCTGTGTCTGGGCTGCTGACTGGAGAAGCAACCGCCCGCAGCACTGGGGAGGGGGTCACTCTGCTTTTATGACTGGGGGCAAGGGTAAGCATGTTAGTGATGGGACAGGGCTTCTGGGGGAGGTGAGGAGGGAATCTGGGGGCTGGGTGTCTGAGGGAGGTGAAGAGAGAGGGCCAGGGGCCAGGGTGTTTTGGAGGGGTCATGAGGGGCACAGCATGGGAGGACTGGGGTATGGAGATGAGGGGAATCTATCGGGGACATGAGGAGAGGTCTGGAAACACGCAGGGCTATCAGGAGGAGAGGAAGGAGGTTCCAGGGATCCTGAGATAACACCAGACTTCTGGGGAGTCCCTTTGGGGCCAGGGGCCCACCATGGCTCTGAAGACGTGTGTGACTCTCCACACTTCCATCCTTGCAGGTGTAGGTTACAGAGTGTGCATGGACTCCGTGTGAGAGATACAGGGGGTGTGACCATGTGTTCAGCTGTGTGAAAAAGGACAAAGTGTGTGACTGGGTGAGCCTTTGTATGTGACAGGGATGTGATTTAATGTGTCAGAGGGACAGAGTATGTGGCTTTGTGAGATGGTGAATATGACTGTGCCTGAGGGGGACAGGTTGTGTGGCTGGGCCCCTTTGGGTACTGGATCGTGTGTGTGGCTGTTCCCAGAGTTCCCTGAGAAAATACCAGCTCCATACTCAAGGCTTGGGATGGGGGTGGGTTCAGGAGGGACACGAGTGGGAACACTGTGAATGAGACATTCATAGATCAGCTCTGGCAGGAGGGTGAGGGGTACAACAGATCAGGGACCTTGCTTCCCAGGCCCCCTTGCCCTCCCAGTTTGTCTCAGAATCTCCAGGGCCTGGGCACTGGGAATGAGAAATCAATTCTCCACATCACCCCAAAGTCGAGTGGAGAGAGTGATATTGGAGATATAGAGGGGAGCATGTTCTGCCTCCCCTGAGAGATTTGGCCTCTCCCTCCTCTTCACACCAAGAACTGTGCAGCTCCATAGCACAGCTATTTTCCTGTCCACCAGGGACAGGAAAATAGGCAAGAACCGTGATAGGAGGGTTATAGGGTAAACACCGGGGAGAACTGAAAAGATGTGAAGGGAGCTGGAGACAAGAGGAAGGGCCAATGAATTGCCTGCTCTAGGTTTCAGTAAGAGCAGGAAACCCCCAACTCACCTTCCATCCTCTGCTGCATTTATCGGAGTGGGGTGGGGAGAAGGTTGGTCCTAGATGAACTGGGGTTCATCCAATCCTGAAACGATGAAGTCCATTTGGCTCTGACGTGCCATGCCCTTTAGACTGGTGGGAAGAGGGGTCATCCAGGAAGCCCATGTGTTCTGTAGGCTGAAGGCAGCCCTTTTCCTTCCCACCTTTCAGGGGAGCCTAGAGGAAACGGAGTCCTGGGAACAGGGAGGGGACCAGGGAAGGGGGGGAAGTGTGAAGACGGGGAGGTTGGGAGAGGCGGGGGGTGCCGTAACCCTCCCCCGCCCTTCCCAGTCCAGCTGCGACCACACCACCGGAGGCCCCAGACGCAATAGGGCTTCGGGAAACCAAAGTCGGGGCTAATGGAGCCCTGGGCTGGGGGCCAGGCCGCCATCGATCCCCCACTCGGCCCATGGTCTCCCTCCTACCTCGCCATAGCTCTGCGGGGGGAGGGGAAGAGAGGAAGTATAGGGGGGGTTGACTTTAAGCAGTTACCTCCCGGGAGTAGGGCCGGGTCCTGAAGGGTGGAGCCTGGTTGGGGGGGGCGGGGCCTGCGTGGGAGCTGGGATGCCCTAGTAACCTACAACCGAAGGAAGTTGGGCCCCTCCAGGAATGGACTGATCAGTGTGCTAGGGCCCTGTGGACTCTGGTCCTGGAGTCTGGACGTGGGTGCTGCGGGAGACAGGCACACCAACGCAGAACCCTCCCTGGGATGTAATTAGAGCTGTAGGACACAGGTGTAAATAAGGGGAAGTGGGGGGAGCTGTGGTCAGTGGCCCTGGATAGCCCCACATTACAAAAAATACTCATCTCCAAGGTCTGTTATTGCTTCAAAGTTTGCTATCATGTCATCTTCAAAGACATGAGAGGGGACACACTTTTAGGGTGGATGAATTAGCTGATGAGGAACTTTGTTCCACTGGTAGGGAGATTCCAGGTGCTCTGGGATGAGGGGTTATAGGAAGGAAAGGTGGGCAGAACAAACATGGGTTCTGTTGGTGATGTGCAGTCTTAGGTATCTGGGCCCCTAAGTCACAATATGATATGGGTATGTGTCGTGGTGACCTTGATATGTGTCATAATGTTATAGGGTCACAGTGTATTATAGTGTCCTTAACACACCATGTCATGATGTCCCATGCGTTTTTGTATGGTTTGATCATGCTGCATGTAAGATGGCCTATGTGGGTCCTCATATGTATGTGTCGTTTTTCCTAGGCTACGTTTGTATATGTTTGTATTAAGGAATTATATGTCAAAGTGTGTGTGTACCTGTGTATGTGTGCATGTGTTGGGGCCTGCTTGATTAGGCCATTGGGTTTGAGTGAGTTGCTGGGTATCAAGCTGTCCCTGTGTCGCATCCATCACTGTGATTTATCATTTTATGTGTCACTGTACACGCTTGTCACTGTGTGTGTGTGAGAGAGAGAGAGAGACAGAGACAGAGAGGTGTTCCTACCCAGGCAGTCCTTGGGTTGGACATCACCCTCAGAGGTCCAGCTATAGCACCGGAGCCAAGGGCACTGGGTCAGCAGGCACTGAGGCCAGTGCCACCTCCCCTTGGTGGCCTCACTGTCCCCAACTGCGTCCCATTATACAAGATGCCTGAGTGGACTTTTTATGCCTGTGAAACCCACTGGGGTTCCCTAGCCCAGCCCCAGCTATTCTCACCATTCTCCTCCAGTCCTCTCCCAACACTCCTTCCCCTCAGGGTTGATTTGTGATGGTGGGGAGGGGAACGGAGGAATAGTAAAGGTTAATGTGCCTTCCTGGGGTCTTCTCTCTTCCCAGGCCACCCTCCAGGGCCCACTAAAAAGGCGCTGAAGCAGCGGTTCCTCAAGCTGCTGCCTTGCTGCGGGCCCCAGGCCCTGCCCTCAGTCAGTGAAAGCAAGTGCCTCTCCTGTGCTTCCGGGGGCGGGGCCCGTATGTGTCGGGGTGTGACCAGTGTGACAGAAGCGGGCCTGCGTGTGTGTGTGTGTGTGTGTGTGTGTGTGCGCGCGCGCGCGCGCGTTACCGGTGTGGGTGGGGGTGGGCGCCGGTAGGTCCCAGTGTGGGGAGGGCGTAGCTTCAGTGCCAGGAACAAGCGGAATGTGGGGCGGGGCCAGTTTGGGGGGGCGGGGCCCAAGTGTCTGTGGGCGTCACAGGTCAGCAAAATGAGTCAGCCCGGGTGTTTGGGCGTGGCCAGTGTGGCAGGGCTGAGGCCTGAGACTATGTGGGTATGGCCATTGTGGCCGGGCAAGACCAGACTGCTGTGAGGTCTGTGCGTGGCTTAGTGTCTGCGACTGTGGCCGCCCGCTCTGTCCTGGGGAACGTTTTGGGCCTCGAGATGCATGTCGCCCCTGCCCTGACTGGATGGATGCAGGTGCCTACGATGGATCCCGCCTTCCTCCAAATGCCAGGACACTTGGGTTTTCTAGTCCCAGCCGGTCCCGAGTTGAGTCGCCTCACTTTGTCTCCAGGCCTGTTTCCTCAGTTGGGCCTTGCCCACCCCATAGGATCATACTGAATTTTGCAAGCCACAGAGACCCATCTTGTAGTTATTTGAGAGTGTCATTGTGTTTGATTCCACTGGGTCCCACATGCGGGTAGATTCGGGAAAATGACAGGCGTGAGTCCCACAAGCATGTGTTTGTGGGGTCTGTTTCGTGTGTGTCTGTGCTCGTTCATTATTTGTGCCTCTGCGCGCGGGGCTGCGTGTGTGTGCATTGTAACACGCAGGTCTGTGAGATTTGCTGTTGCGTGTGAGGGGCGAGGTGTGTGTCTGCAGTTGGCCGGGTCTTCCACTTTCTCGGTGACAGTTCGCTCCCTTCAGCATTAGCAGTCCCAGCTTCCCTCCGCCCCCACAGACCCCGCCCGCTGGACCCAGGTGACTTACTGTCCTGGTGGGGGCGGGGGCGGGGGCCTTCGGGAGCGTGGGGTGGGGCACTTGCCTGGGGACTGGATGTTGGGAGCCTGGGGCAGGACTGAGATGGGGCCAGGGATGAAGCCTTAGCTAAGGTTTACTGGGAGCAGGGTAGGGGTGGGGTCTGGATGGGCTTGGCTGGAGCTGGGCGGGGCATGGCTCGAGCATGGCTGGGATAGGCGGGGATTGGCTGGAGAGAAGGATCTGGGCGGGGCAAGTGTGGGGCTGGGGGGATCTGAGTGGGTCAGGGAAGGTCCAGAGCCTGGACCCTCAGACGCTTTCTCTTGAACCTATTCTTTCTACTACTCCCTTCCTGGGATGAAGATGGGGCTGGGGGCCTTCCCCTTCAACCGAGGGTCAAGGGCCCAGGGGCCAGCGATGAGTCGGCCCCCTGGCTCCAGGGCCAGGCCTGCCCAGGGGCCCAGCCACCTGATAGACCTGGAAGCTGACCAGCGTCTTCTCCTTGCCTTGATATCCTCAGACCGGGGTCCAAGGAACTAGCAGGCTGGTCTCTGGTGTTGGAGATGGGGAGGATGGGTGGGTCGGTGGTTTTGAAGAGGGTTCGTGGAGGCCGGGCCTGAGGCGCGGCTGTCCCCCCCTCCCCACACTGCCCCCCCTGCAGACAGCGTGGAGGATGAGTTTGAACTGTCCACGGTGTGTCACCGGCCAGAGGGTCTGGAGCAGCTGCAGGAGCAAACCAAGTTCACACGCAAGGAATTGCAAGTCCTGTACCGGGGCTTCAAGAATGTGAGTGCAAAGCAAGGCCTAACTGGGTGAGGGGCGGGGCCTATCCCGGACTTCTAAGATTGGCCTGAATGCTTTAGGAATGTGAGAGGGAAGGGGAGGAGGAGGGACCCCTCTTCCCCAGAGACCAAACTTCTCGCCCGAGGCTCCTGCCAATTTGAGGCAAGGTGGAGCCTGTAGACTGGCCTGCTGGTTATTTCCGCTTTTTTAAACTTGTGCACTGAAATGTCTTGCCTTCCTTAAGAGAACTACATGGTGAGCCCCCCCCCCCCCCGCCCCGAGACAGGAAGCTTTTCCTTCTCTGGGAGCCTCTGGCATGGAGTAGGTGGTGGTGAGTAGAAGGGGGTTTTGTTTCTGCACTCGGTCTGGTTTCTAACTTTCCCCCTACTCCCAGGAATGTCCCAGTGGAATTGTCAATGAGGAGAACTTCAAGCAGATTTACTCTCAGTTCTTTCCTCAAGGAGGTGAGGGGACAAGGCCTGAGAGGAAGCAGCTGTCCATCTCTAGGCTGAGTTGGGGAGAGGGTTCTGGAGGGGCTGGGAATGCCAAGTAATAAGAGGGGTTTGGGGAACCCCATAGAAGTAGGAAGTCCTCTCCTGTCTGAAAGCCAAACTTATCCACGCTTATCCTACAGACTCCAGCACATATGCTACTTTTCTCTTCAATGCCTTTGACACCAACCATGATGGCTCCGTCAGTTTTGAGGTGAGCTGGAGGAGGTGGGTCAGGGAGGCCTGCTTCTTGGCGCTTCAGGGCCAGGATCCACAGGCCAAACCCATATTGGGGATTGGGTAAAGGGTATCTGAAAATACAGTTCCCCCCTGTCTCTTTCCCAGGACTTTGTGGCTGGTTTGTCGGTGATTCTTCGGGGAACCATAGACGACAGACTAAACTGGGCCTTCAACTTGTATGACCTCAACAAGGATGGCTGCATCACCAAGGAGGTGTGGAGCAACTGAAGAGTTGGAGAGCTTTTATGTGTGGGGGGAGGTGCATAGGGCCCTAAGGAGGAAAATGTGACCCATGCTTGCTTCACCAGCAAGGGGTGAGGTCTGCCCTAGGCTCTAGGCCTCCTGATTTGGAGGCTGGAGGCTCTGAGGAAGGATCATTTTCTTTCTTGGCCTAACAGGAAATGCTTGATATCATGAAATCCATCTATGACATGATGGGCAAGTATACTTATCCTGCACTTCGAGAGGAGGCCCCAAGGGAGCACGTGGAGAGCTTCTTCCAGGTGCCTGGGACTGGGTAGGCTGGAGGGTTCTGGAGTGAAGGGAAGGAGGCAAGGTCCTGGCAGTGAACTTACCTGAGTTCTTCCTGCCTCTCTCCTGTCATCCCTCCTGTTCTCTCTACCTGACTACCTTTTTGCAGAAGATGGACAGGAACAAGGATGGCGTGGTGACCATTGAGGAATTCATTGAGTCTTGCCAAAAGGTACAGACCCCTGCCCTCCACATTTCCATGATCTGGACTCAGGGTCCAATTCAGTGATGTAGGAGAAAACTCCTTTGGGCAGAGTATCGTCTCCCTAACTTGCCCACACTCCCAAGTCCTGTTCCATCACAACTCGGGGAGGCCTGTCCCTTCCCTACTTCAGATCTCTCTGGGTGTCTCCTTCCTTGCCGCCTCTCTCTCTCTCTCTGAGTGTCCCCATTTCAAGTGACTGTCCCTCTCTGTGTCCCTGATAAGCTCTTTTTTATTTCTCTCTCTCTCTCCAATCTGCCTCTCCCCCACCATGGCTACAGGACGAGAACATCATGAGGTCCATGCAGCTCTTTGACAATGTCATCTAACTCCCCAGGAAAGGGGGTCAGTTGCCCTGGGGGGACTATACTCTAGCCCTAGTCCAGGTGGAACTCACCCTTCTCTTCCCAGGTCTGTCCTCATCCTAGCTGGGCCCTGGGGGCTGTAGGAATCTAAGAGTCTGGGGATTCAGTGGTCCAGATTACTGGAGCTAAAGGGGCCAGGGCATGGGCAGAGTGTATCTGTGGGGTGTTCCCAACTCCCAACAGCTCCCACCCCCTTCCTGCCTGATACTCAGTGCTAAGGGTACCCCCGTTATAGGAAATAAATGGTTCTCCACTTTCCATCCCCACTCTAGAAACTACAACACTAGACAAAATGTCTCCTGGTATGGTGCTTTCCCTATCCCTGATCTCATATGCATTTCCTCTAAGATTTCCTTCTCAGAGAGTCTGTTCTGTCTATGGCACTGACTGGCCTTCCAGACCTTCCAGGGCCTTTGAGAGCCTTATAGGAGGGGGGACAAGAATGGAGAGGGAGAAATCTTAGGCCTGAGCCAGGTGGTTAGGTCATAGGTGGCTGGGGTAGAGTGCAGAAAGGCCTGGAGATTGTCAGTGACAGCTCAGGCATGCCAGACCATAGCTCTGAGCTCCATAGGTCTACCACCCCCAGGCTATCAGAATTTGGGTTCCAGGCCCTTCAGAAGACTCTGTCTCCTTGGAAATGCCCCAGAAATTTCCATACTCTCCTCAGTATTCCAGGAGAGCCTGGGATCCTGATGTCTGGCTCATGGCTGGAATTCCTTCCTTCCTGTTTGTGTGGGTGGTGGCAGCAGCAGGGGAATATGGGTGGGAGATGTCCTAGCTGATACCTGCCAAAGTTTCAGCCTACCCTCTCCGAAGTCTACAACTTAAGTTTTCATTTACCAGTTCTTCTAGACTTGGAGGCATGGAGTGAGTCAGGGACCATCCAGTGGATGCCTTAGAAGAAAGGGGAAGGAGGGAGGCAGGCATAGCATCTGAACTCTGTGAGGGGGCATTCACTAGAATCTTTGATCTACCCAGGCTCTATTCCAACCCCCCACGTAGTCTCCTCAATTCCTACTTAGGGTCTTCTTTTGCTCTATTCAGTCTACCCAGAGATGCCCCCGTACGCATCTAGAAGGCAGGGACCACTCTTGCCATGCTGCCACCCTTTAATATACCTGCTCGTTCCATTTAGCTCACCCTCCCAGTCAGTCAGGATCTGAGGGGAAGGGCCCTGAGGGAGCCCCCTTTCCCATCAGAACACTGTTGACTGCTTTGCATTTTTGGCTCCTCTGTATATTTTGTAAAATAAAAAAATACACCAATCCAATAAAACACAATGGCTATGCACAGGCTGCTGTCTCTGCCTTTTTGTCCCTCCTGCTCCACACATACAACACTTATTCCTGCACCTACAGTAGCCTTTTAGATTCCAAAGAAAGTGCCTCTCTTTTCCATAGCATAGCCAACCCTTGGCAGGAGATTGAGACACAGGTTCTGGAAGGGTTGGAAACCTACCTGACCTCAGAGAGGTCCCCATGTGAGTCTCTCTTCCACATCCTTAGAGGAGATGAGAGACAGGGTATTAATATCCCAAAGATTATGCCAAACCAGCTGACTTTTGGCTAGACATTCTTACAAGTTGAATAAAAAATTTCTAACTTACAGACATCTTAGTTAACCTCAAAGTGCTTTCTTTGGAGGGGGGATTCCCTTTAGTTTCTAAATAAAGTTCCTTTGTGTAAACATCCCAACCTTGCCTCCAATATGGATATAGTTTGTGTCTATACTCCAGCCAGGAATGATGAGGGATCAGATGGGGTGGACCGAGGCACCATGAAGCAAGTGACACAAAGGGTAATAGAGACTTCCTATGTGGAATTGCTGCCTTTCTTTGTTCTGTTTCTGGAGAGGGACCACCAGTGGTAGGTTCCTCCCATCCTTTCTCTAGGGCACCATTATATGGTGACTGAGCTTCACCATCCATAGAAGGGGGATCAGGCCTTCTCTTCCATCACTGTACACATTGACAAGGTCAGTGGAGGAGTATGGTGTCCAAGAAAGAAAAACTGACTTCCACAAGCCATCATTTTGTCATCTGTGTTTCCTGCTCACATTATCACACAACTATCTGCTCCATAAGTCCTTGGATTTCTTTGGGTCACAGCCCCTCTAAAGGATCTGATGGAAGTTATGGGCCCACTGTCTATATATTTTTGTATCCCTCAAGCCCAGTCATGGACCTCAAGTTAAGAACCTGTGGTCTAGTCTTTTCTCTCAGCCTTCCATTGTACAGAAAAGGAAACAGGCCCAAAGAGGGGAGAGGGCCTGCTCAATGTCACCTAGTGAGTTTAAGGGAGGATTGAGACTAGACCCGGTCTCCCAAGTCTCTGTCCAGGGTTGCCTCGGGACATAGTAAAGATTTGTGTGTGAAAGGTGGATGCTATGCATACCATGCATAGTCTAAACAAGTTGACACTGTGGCAGGCTCTCATGGTACCCTATACTTTTCCTTTGTGGCACTTCTCCATTTGTCACTATATATTTGAGTGATTGTCTTCTTTGATACACTATAAGCTCCTGAGGGCTCCTTGAATACCTGGACTAGGTTTCTTGCCCCCACCCCCACCATCCTATCCTTGAGGCCCAGCATATAATAGGTATTTAATAATTGTATAATTGTATGATTGAATGAATGAGCATGGTGAGTGTGTGTATGTATCTCAGGTATGGAGATGGTCTCTATGTTCTAGGGTAGATTCAAGTTTAAGGGAAGTTGAAGTCTGAGACTGAGTGAGGTGAGAAGTGTCCCAGAGCCAGGGAACACAAATGGGATCTGGAAAAAAACAGCAGGTTGGCATTCTAATTTTTTTCTGGCCACTGGTTGGATTCTGAATGTTGTCAACTGCTCCATCTCAAAACACTCCTTTCACGCCTTCCGGTATTTCATAACTCTCCTGGTTTTCCTCTTACTTTTCTGGCCACTGCTTCTCAGCACTTGCTTTGGAGACTCATCCTTTTCACCTGGAACTCTAAATGTTGAGCCCCATAGCTCAGACCTGAGTCTCTTCTCCGAATCACATCCAGTCCCCTGGCTTTAAACGCCATCTATATGTAAGGGATTCCTAAATTTATATCCTCAGAATTCTGAGCTTCAAAACCCATATATCCAATTGCCTATTTGACATATTCATGTGGACTTGTAATGGTCAAACTTAACATGTTCATTTTTTTAAAAAGATTTTTATTTATTTGAGAGAGAG